TACGTAAGCAGCATATGTTTGGATGAAGATAAAATAAGCGTTGAATCACTAATGTGGCGAACGCAGAGTGGCGCATAATGATGATGACGACGGAATCGAATCGACAACGACAATAAATTCGTGTCGCATTCAATTCCATGTGCTCAACATTCTATCAGTACAATCAACGATTTTTATTCTATATGCATGAAACTTTTCCTTATTTAAAGATGAGACACACGGCTGGTTTTTTTCGGCACACTCCATTTTTATACCATGAATCGATATCTATTGTCCAATCACAAAGGCTAATAACATGCCCATTAGCTTATAGGAACTTTTGAAGTTACCAAGATAAGATGTCTATGTGCTTCGAAAATGTCTTTAATTAAAATGGTTGCCCTAGTTTCATCGGACGTAATGTACTTTGGACTACAACTCATGAAAATCTTGTTTTTTGGAATTCCAACGAAAAAAATGAAAAAATGATGAACATTTTTTTTAGACAAAATGCGGAAATCTGCACTCTTCATTGTCGAAACAATAACGTGTTCACATGAAAATTGATTCATAAAAATATCCGTATATGTGACAGAAATATTCTTGCATCATTTTTTTTCCTGTGAGAAATCAGAAATGTTTTACCATATCTGTGATTCATATCTTTCCGTTGGCCATCAACGCACGTGGAAAATTCGTTCGAACAATTCGATGACACATTGGTTTTTACTCGAGTATATTGCACCAAGCATTGGTTCGATGGCATCAGTAGATTGCCCACGCGTTACGTTAATTGACGTAACCGTCATTTCTGCGGTTGAATTACGCTTGATGAAAATCTTTCTCGATATCAGATACACAACAATAAACCAGAGAAAAAAAGAATTATTGAATGCTCAGACAGAGTGCCAGCGATCCAATGCAAACACAATGCAAAAGTGAATAAAACCACATTTAGTGCTAACAACAAAGACGTACGTGGTAAATGATTTACAATTAAGATAATTGCGTCGCAGTGCGATCATTGCTATTTTTTCCTTCAGTTTGCTGTTGTCGGTGCTTTTTTCAATTCTTATTGAAACTAAAAAAAACGACACATATTTCGCGCGCGCTTACTTGCACGAGTGTGTAAATTCCTTTAGGTGGTTCGGTTTTTTTTTATTCCGTGTATTTGGTCGCCATATAGTCAATAGACTAATAATAACATCACAGCAATAAAGAATCGCACAAAATAAAAATGAACACAACTCATCATGGTACTGAACGTCAATGTACGTGATCGGTATTCGCAATGCATATCCACTAGCATGAAAGCATGCGAAAACAAAAAAAAGTTAAAGTATTCTTGTTGGCAAAAGCGTGTATATTTTCTACTTTGATTTATATGGATCTTATTAAATCGCGGTTCAAATATAGAATTTATGTGTGCTTTTTTATGATATTGGCCGTTGTCGTCGTCGTCGTCGTCGGTACACACGAAACGACACCAATTGTATTTCCATGTCTGAGGGATATAAAGCATTTTCAAACAAAACACAATTTTACAGCAACAATGTGCCGCACGTCGTGGTTTAATACACACATGACGGATTTTTTGCCGCATTCCGTTTCGTTATCAATTTTGATGGAACGCAAAGTGGAGAGACGCAAAGAATGAATAACAACATCGTTTCACCGTTGTTTTTACGATGTTTATTCACCGGTGGTGTGTTTGTGCTTGTATGTTTGCCGTGTACTGTTCTCAGTGACGTCATTTAAATTGAATAAAACTTCTGACATGGAATTCAAAGGTTTTTGCATTGATTTTACTTTCGTTTGAATTTATACCGAACAAAATAGAAGAAAATCAATGTTTGTGGCGTGAGCCATTTTATTCAACTCGATTTTCGTATTTAATAACAAAAAACCAACCACAATCATGTCTGGCTACTGTAAATGCACATTAAATGCTGTAAATCTTGCTTTGATCTGATTATATGCGTAAACGATTTCCAACACAACGAACGATTGTGTCAATTGTCAACCGACAAAACAAGTCACTCATTTGAAATTCAACGGCTTCCGCGTGCATTACTTGAATTATTGGCATGAAAGTGTCAATTTTAAATCGATTCACAAACAAGCAAACAAATAGAAAAAAACACATACACTCTGTATTCAATTCAATGACTCTTGTATTCCATATAGAGATTTCGAAGCGAAATCAATTTATCCCATAACTCTCTCTCTCTTTCAATTGTGCACTTCGCAGTGCACTTGCAATTTGGCTATTTTCGAAACACACATTGCAATCAAACATTGAACACACAAAGAGTTTTGCCGTTTTTGTTCTCTTCGGCAGTTCACATATTCACAAATGTGGAAAAAACAACGAACAGCAAGAAGAAAAAAATACTGAAGCAAAAAAAGGGATCGAAAAATAGATTTGGCATGAAATAGACTTGCACTCTGTGCAATTGTGACTATAGATAGAAAATTGCAAAAAACAGACACTGAAGAAGCGAAATTGCCAACCGATTTTGTCACACTTCTGCATTTTTTCTCTCTGTGTCGTTTTCTCACTCTTGCGCCTAGTACACGATCAACTTTGTGCACGAAGCGATAATCGCTAATTTTATTGTGCACATTGGTCAAAATTGTTCGGCTATTTTCATCTCAAAGCAATTGTAGCAAAACAATTGACGACGACCAAAATGTTTGTCCGTTCAATTGTCCGGAAATTTTTGTTCATTAAATTTTGGTTTCGGCAATTGCATTTTTGTTTGTCAAAATGAATTCGGTTGAAAGCAAATAAAAAGCGACACTTTGTACGCGAGATAATTATTTAATGACCGAAATCGAAATCGAGCTCGCCGCTCCTAATTAAACAAGGAACGAAAAGGAGGCTATTCTACGACATTAGCAAATTAGTATAATCATCTGCAATTGAAAAGAAAAATGACGAAAAAACATTGCATTCGGCATGAGATCCATCAAAACAAAAAAATCGGCCATTTACCAAAAAGTGTGTGTGTGTGCGCTCTATAAATATATTCATGTTTATAGATTGAAGACAAATAAATTTGAACTGTATTCAAATATTTATGCTGCATTGTATGCGTACCATGATAATCATCGCTCTTCAGTTGTCGTCATCTTCGACGTTATTATTATTATTTGTTGTTCACCATCGATTCTCGTTCATCTGCACACAAAAATTTAATTTCATCGACGCATTACATGACTATAAATACATCGAAGATGCGGAAAAAAGTGAAGAGATGGGAAAAAAAGAGTGAAGAAGAAAAATCAGTGGCCGTAAACAACTCGAGATTTATGGGCGAATTGAAACGAATTTTGATACAAAATTTCCCGCATTCATAATAGGCATCGCCTATCGTGATCGAAAGAACAAATGTAATGTTGCAAAATCATCTGTTCAGCTTTTTCCCTTCTTCTTCTTCTTCTTTTTTTACTGTAAGGACTGTAGGGAAACGATGGGACGCAATTGCAACAAACAGTTGTGCCAAATTTATGCGTTTTATGCAATTTTATTTTAACGAAAAATATTAATTAAATAAATGGACAACCAGTTGGTTGGGTCAAATTATGCTGTGTGAAAATGTATATGCGCGAATATGTTCGTCGCATCAAATACTATTCATATGCGTTAATGCGATGATTAGTGACAGTCAGTTTTTTTTTATTTGTGATGGCATGTCACTTGTGCACCCGATCAAAATAAATAAATCTCGAGGCAAGTGTTTTTATTTGTTTAGTTCAATTTATGAGAGTGATTATCACTTAACCAAACATCAAACTGTGGCCCCGAATACTTGTTTCGCATTATTTATTTTATATCATTATAAATTTTCTAATCACATTGCATTGACTATTATTGTGACATAAATAAGTGTGCGTATGTGTGTGTTTTGTTTATTTTTTTTTTTTTTACTCAACGAAAAATGAAAATGTGGATTATAAATTGACAACATCCATGTTTTTGAGTCTGCCCATTTTTCCTTTGCGTTCTCGATCAAAGTGAACATACATTCTTTGGTTGATTTTGATTGTTTTTGGCAACATTACAAAAACAGCATTTCGTCGCATTCGGTAAATTCTTCTAATAACTTTCTATATCATAAAGTATATGCAACATTTCCGATTTTTCTCGTTACATTCATCGTTCTTTTCGCTCATTCAAACTCCTTGCTAAATTCTTTACATAATTTTTTTTTCTTTGGCTTAAATATTTCTCAACAATTTTTGTTCATGTTTTTTTATTACAAAAAAAAAAAAATAATAATAATCAAAGAAACCATTAACAGTCGAATTATTTTTGTAGCGAAAAATGTTAAAACCATTCACCTAAAAACACATACAATATTTTTGTAACAATGTAAACTCTCTCTTCCGCTCTCCTTCTATCTCTTCCAAATTTTATGCTTCGGAAACAATAGAATATTTTACAACGTCAATAAAAACAATGATAATATATGTTAAAAGCAATTAATTTTGTTGCGAGGTGTCGATAATAGTCTTTCACTCACAATTTCTTTCTATAAAGAGATGACTTGATTTTTTTATAGTTCATTAAAGAAATGAAATATTATGCGATTGTTGTTGAAAGCGAAGAATTGCAACATGGCGCTTAAACCTCTAACATCTTATTTTATGTATATATATAAATAAATGTTTAATGATTTACATAACGACAGCTTATGACTAAAGTTAGTTGAACAAAATCTTAAAAATATTATAAATATGATGAAAGAAAACGAATTTTCGACATCGGTCAAGAATCGACAATCGATTGTGTTGATTGGTAGTGTAAAGTGTTAATAAGGCACTTAAAAAATGCTAATTGTGTTAGCGGATGTACGTAAAACGGGCGCACGACTTGTAAAACTATATTAGAATGCGGAAAGATTGTGTTTTGTTTTGCCCAGAAGCCCAAAAAAGCCAAAAGAAGTAGAAACAAAAAATTCGCGACAAACTATGATGCAAATAAACGTTTACACAAAAAAGAAACAAATACGTACACTTTTTTTCTTCGATAAAATCGTGTGGTTGCGCGTAATTGCTGTTGTTATTGTTAAGATCGCCAATTGATTGGGATGATGGCAGAATGTCACGATGACGGTCGGATAGACCATAAAATTGTGCATCTACTTCATTGTAATTGCTGTGGCCAATCAGTGCATTTTGTTCACTCTCGAGATATTCGTTCGTTAGCGGCTCTTGTTTTACGACAATCAGTGACGCCAATCGTGTTCGCATGTCCAACCGATGTATTTCGCTTGTTTTATGTTTGAATTGAATGCGATTTTGTGTGTGCGTGTTTCTTTTTGGGTCCTACTTTTTTCTTTACCTGTATTCGTCTCTGAAAATGTTGATGATATCGATTCACTTTCTCACCTGATTTATATGGCGTATACTGCACAAATGTTCATCAGCTGTTTCTTTCCAATTCTTTTAAAAAATTATTTCTCTTTTTCGTTTTTCTTTTCTTTTTCTTTGCAAGTTCAAATTAAATTGCTAACGTTTACATTTTTGTTTTCTTCAGTGGCAAAAGTTTATGCGCGCAAACGAACCAACGCGAAAAAAAAACTAGATTGAACCCAGAAGCAGAATGAAGTTTAATGAAATACGCTCGTATCAAGTGCACTGTGCATAATGTTTTGTGCCTAAAATATATTCAGCTTATTTTCTGTGTGTGTGCTAATGTTCATGCATTCGTTCGTAATATAGCTTTAAATTTCTTTGGATTTGTGTTTTTGTTGCTGTTGTGGTTGTTTTTACTCTTTATGGTGCAAATCACAAAATAAATTTATTCTCTTTGAAACATAAAATATACACACCAAAAAATACACAGATACACGACCAAAATAAGGACATATATAATTAGTGTTCATTCAAGTTCTATTCTCGGATCAATTTTCTTTTTGCCAACGACAAATTATCAAGTTCTTTTTTCTGTTCTGTTCCTCCTTTTTGTTACTGTCAATGTTTTTGCTTTGTGTCCTATTTTAATTGTTCACGTTCACAACACTGATTTTATTTTCATGACATACAAAGAAGAAAAAAATAGTCAACAACAACAACAAGAGATAGAAATGTTTATTTGTCTCCCTTTTTTAGAATCAAAAGTGAATATTTACTAATCTCGGTACTTAATAATTGCTTTACATTGAATTGCTTTGATGCATAATGAAATAAAGTGGTAAAACATCAAATAAATGAAATGGTGACGGCCCGAATAGAAATGTATATTGAAAATTGTCAATTTTTCAAAAACACAGATATATAAATAAAATGCGAAACAACGATAATTGAACATTGAGATGAATATAATATCTGATTTTAAACACCTGTAGAGGGTTCATCAACCCTTCTAGGGCAATATCTCTTCTCCTCCAGCACGACAAATTAAACCGACCACCGATTTAAAAAAAAATCTCCAAAATATTGTTCGCTTTTATATCAGCGGTTCATAAATCCTTTTTCTGTTGTTCCGTTTGTTGTGTTACAGTTCACTTTTTCATTTGTCATGAAGTTCACACACACACACACACTCAATTTAAAACTTCTTCTCTTTTATGCTGAAACCGCAAGTGTTAAATTGAATATATCGGTTAAAAAATTTTTTATCACTGTCACTGGTGACGATGATTTTTTTTTCGATGTCGCACTACCGAAGAGCTCTGAACTTTCACTTAAATTTTTTTATTTTATCTGATCGTTTAAAACCGAAAAAAATTGTTTCGTTGCTACTGGACTACAACAAAAAAAACTTGTCCAAAAAACGTTTGAAAAAAGTTTCATCGCAAAAAATGCACAAAATTTTATTGATTTTATTTTATTCAGGAAAATTCACTCGATCCTAGAGGATTTTTTCATTCTGATTGACTTTCGTTACAATCCTGTTTTTTTTTCCCCAAAAAAAAAAAAAAAATCAGCTTTTACTGTATTTTCATACGTATAAAATGCAATGGCAAAATGATGTGATTGAGTTGATTGTGAGAAAAGGGCTTAATATTATTCTTCTGCTGCTTTGTGTACAATACGGCGTCTGAGACGCGACTGAACTTATCACGCGAAATGCACGAGACTATATGATGAATTAAAATAAAGCCGAGAGAACGAAGCATATACACTTTTACTACTAAGTAACTAAAGAAGCGGCTCGCAAGAGAGCGAGAGAAAGAGAACGAGAGCGGATGAACGAGCGCACGTTGACCGTTTATATGTTTCTCTTTTCTTTCGTGCCGTGCTGTTGTTTCGCCTCTTCTATTGTGTATTTTATCCACGTTCACCGTTCCGCATTCGGTTGGTGCTTTTTTTTCTTTTTCTCTTCGGTGTTGTGTTGTTATGTCGATTTTGTTTTCTTCTTTTCTTTCGCTGTGCTCGAGCTTCATTGAAACGTGTGCAACACAGCGATCAAGTGTACACAGAACGCCAGTCGCAAAGCAAACGGCGATATGTGTATAAAACTAACGGACAGCGCAACAAATTCGATATTGTTCCCGATATATGCAGTGTGCACACATCAAAACGGCAAATGGAATATAATGACGTCATTACGATTACGTCATTGATGAATGAATACGACACAAAATACATGTACGGAATATGTCTGTAGAGATCGCGCGTGTTGTGCGGTGTTAACCTGCCGCTTTGCCCGTTACCAACCATCTCACTCTCTCAGCGAAGACTCTGAGAGAGGGGGGCAGATCACACATGGAATATTGTGTGGCGTTGTAATTGCTGGTGCCGTAAACTTACATGAAAATTATACAAGCTGTTCGCGCTTCCCAACACCAAAAAAAATTTCAAGCGATTAAACCGATTGTGGTTCAGTTGTTGGGTATCCCCATTTATTTGTTTTCTTTTCGTTGTTTTTTTTTTCTTTCGTTGCTTGCTCTTGTTGCTGTTGTTGTCTCGTACAATATTTATCTCTGCCTATTTTTGTGCTTTCGGCCTACAACACGGCAGAGAGTGATTTTGGTATACTGGCGCTAAATATATGTGTATAAAAGAATCACAACAACGGTAAAATTCAGAGCCGCCTCTGATTCGAATGCGTTTACATACGTTACTATCCCCGCTATTTAAAATTTAAACAAAACAATTTCTTTACTCTCTTTTAATGTAATTAGTTTTTGTTCATTTACATTTGCCATGTATTGTGCTCTACAAAAAATCAACAGTTGACTTCTGGCGAATAAATTAAATGTTTGAGTTCCAGCGTACGCTACAACGTAAAAATCAAAATAAATTCATTTCATTCAAGAAATAGACACAAGAGTGGGTGAAAGTAAGCATTGATTCCTGTGTTATTCATCGGAATCAAAATATTTGTTAACCATTGTATTTGTTTCCATCGGCATACAATGTGAACATCACATATGCATGATGTAAATGCGTTCAATTTTTTATAAAACTGATTGAATTTGAGAATATCTCAACCGAAAAAAGAACGAAAATAAATCTGAACGTTTATCGATCGAATCAAGTGATGAGGTATTGCAATGAGTATTTACGTCATAACAATGACGTATGCAATATAGATTATCAACGGTTTTGGCTAAACTTCAACGAAACACGATTTCGACGCAACAATGATGCGCATTCGGAAAGGGTCATGCGAATCCGCAAGGATCAAAAAAGAGTTGAGTCAGTGCTCCGTTTTTAAATTAGCTCGTTAACGATTTTCCAGCTAATTTAACGACATTAACATAGCGTGGGTAATTGGTGTATTTTTCGCAACACCTCGTACAATCAAGAGACAGCACACACACACATGCCCAGAAAAACTATGACATCAGCAAATATTCAGTCCCGTTCCATTGCTACCACATTCCAATTTATTTGGCGAGGGATATTTCATTAGCTCATGGTACGTGCAGCATTTATCAAAATTGTGAAGAAAATCAAACATAAATATGCATACAAAATAGTTGTCTATGTGCACAATGGTTGCGTTGGGACTTACTTGATTTCGAAATAATATTTTTTTCACATTTGAATCGATCGAAAGGCGAACGATTCGTATCTTGTTACAAAACAACAAAAAAAAAACAATCAGAGAGAAAGAGATGCAATGTATAGATTGTAATATCAAACGATTCGATGTGGTGCATCGATATTATACGTGAAAATAAATGTATGTTTAATGGTTTAATCCATAATTTAACATGTAATCAAACTTGTGCTCGATTCACCTCTGGGCGCACATATTTTCTTTTTTTTTTCATTGTTTTCTTCGTTTCATCTTTCTCTAAAGTGAGCGCGCCCGCGCCTGCTCTTTCTTTTCCGTTATTTGTATGTACCACGTTCCTTTTTGATTTCTTTGGGTACTCTTTTTTTTCTCTCTCTCTCGTGCGGATTTTTTTTCCGCTTGTAAATTCTATTCAAATTTGCATAAATACATAAATGCGTTTGATTTTATGCATACCGAAAATGTGTGTACTCTGCAACAAACACACACATGCACACAAATGACTTGCTATATGGATAGCTTGGAGAGTGAGGTTGGCGTGAGAGAATAGCTGGTCGACTTGTTGAACAACGGTTTTCACATCAAATTCCCAGTCAATTTGTTTGAATTTATTTACATTTTAGCTGCAATCTCTTTACATAAATTACGATTTAAATATTCCTAAATTACGGAACTTGTTCTCCTTTTAAATTGAGTTGAGCTATGGTGAATGCGCATTGCGCACTCACGTATTCACTCTGTTGAGTCTTGAGCTTGCTTGTGAATCGCGCAATGATCGCAATTTAACATATATACATCAATTAAAATCGAAAAATTAGATAATATTCTCATCCTAATTGCATCCATTTATACACAATTTTAATTCAATTCATTTTTTTTCTCTTTCACTTTATGTTTACAAATGTGACTAGAACTGACAATCATTTTGATTGTGTTTTTTTCTTCTCTCTCTCTCTCTCTCTCTCTCTCTCTCTCTCTCTCTGTGCTTTGACTATAAATTGGAAATGTTTTTGATTCGTATTTAAGAGTGGTTTTGTCTTTATTATATTATATTTTGATATGAATATGACAACAGATCCGAACTGTTTCCTAATATCGCTTCCCTCGCTATTTTGTACGAAGCGCCCACTCATCCATTCGTGTTCAGTCAGTCAATGAATCAAAGTGGCATTGCTGGCACTCTTTTTCTCTCTGTAGTCAAAAATACCTTTTTTGTTTTATTCTTTCTCTCAGTTTGATTGTTATACCATAGCGCACAGATCGTTCCAATTACAGCTAAAAAGTAACCTAATCGATTTTATCGGTAAAATCATCGGAAGGTGCATCGGGCCTTTCTACACGTTTTTCGATCAAAAGTCCATGTGGGACGATTTTACGATTTGAAATGAAATAACGATGAATACGACAAGTATCGGAGCTCAGCAAAAATATTACTTGTTTTGATATAGCAACAGTTGAACGATGCACGATGGTAAAAATACAAAAATAAACCAACTAATCAGACGATTAATTTGCTATTGTGGCCGATTTGACGTGAGCAAACAAACTGTTTTTTTTTTTTAATTCTTCGGGTTTTTCGTCTTTCAATCTTTGTAATAATGCATGTTTGTTTTTAACTTTCGATTCTATTTGAAAATTGAAATTGGCACGCGAATATATATTGTTGCCACTTGAAAATAGACATTCAAATTCCGTGACGTGAAAATCAGAAATGTTCAAGGAAAAGAGGATTTCAGTGTTGTGTGTGTGTGACGACATGCACAATACTTGGAAAGGATATATTTTTTTCAGCTGGCATAAATACCATTGAATACAGTTTGAATTTTTGTTCGCGCGCGTGCTATGTTTGTATAATTACAAACACTTTATTTTCGCCGATTTATTCATTTCTTATGTGTATATGGTGCTATTTATCTGTAGTCCTTGACGTTTATATTTTCCCACCATTAATAGTTATTTCCCCATCAAATTTCAAGGTTACACCATATGCTATTTCCATTCGAAGTCGGTAAACATGTTTCCCGCACCACTTTATGTGCCTTATTTTTCTTTGTTTGTTCAAACGACAAGACTCATGTTGTCATTTACGTGAACAAGTGTGTGACTACATAAACGACAGCGAGTTAAACATAAATACTTTAATGTCTCTACCACAAAATCGATTTCAGTGTTTGCTGTTGTGTAAAGCACCATGAAGCTCTTTTCTATCTCTCCCTCTATTTGATTGTGTATTAGAGAATAAAAATCGCTTTTCCACTCGCAATTCATAAAGAAACATTATTTCAAATGTGGGATTTTATATTTTTATTGAAGTCCTGTTCTCTGTGTTACGTCACAGTGACGACGTCTACATTTTAGCGTGACAATCATCATACACGAGATAAACATTTGTTCTTTCTGTCTCAATTTTCCTTTTATTTGTCTGTTTGTTAAGTAACTTTGATGAATTCAAGCAACTTTTTGGGATTATAACACGGCAAACGTGTATTTATAAGGTGCTTTTGAATGAAAATCTTATTAATATTGAACGGGGGCACAAATAACTGGATGCAACCAATGCCAGGCACCAACACAATTCGAAAGTTAGTTAGTTATCTGATTAATTTAATAACATCCCTCAGCAATTCTTGCGTATGAATTGATATCTTTATTTTATCCAGCGATTTCACGTGCACATTTATTTTGATGAGGTCATATCAGTTGCTATAGTTCTATTGAGTATATAGAACCTTATGCATCTATACGATTTATATAATGGGTATGTTTTTCACTCAGATTCAATATTGGCATG